TCCATGTTCAGCCAATGACCAAAAACCAACAGCTGCACGCCAAAATAACAGCTGATAAAAAGAACCAGTTCATGTGCAGAGTGGATGAGAAACTAGAAGAAAAGGAAAAATGTTTTTGAAACGAGATGAGACAAAGTTAAAAATGAAGCAAACGTAATGTATAGGTCTTTGCATGCATTTCCTTTCTAAATCGTGTCTAACAATGTCAAGAAAACTTTTAAAAGCCTTTATCAAAAAATACATCCTAGTTTCCTTGCAACTTTCCATCAGAAACACAAACAGGAAGGAAGTGGACGTCAAGCTTTAAACGTTCGAACTGGAGCATATTATTATTAGTTATATACATTAATTCAGTGATGGAGTCACACATTGGATCCTGGTGCAAGTTTCACTGGAAATTAAAACATTCCTGTCTGAAAACTGCAACATGGTTTCTTTCTCTGTGATTGTCATTTACTGGCATGGGAAGCGGCAGAGACTCTCAATTACACACTTTGTACGTGTTGGCAGCGTATTCAGCAGCACTGTCATGAAGGCTGGGGTAAAAAGGGCTCACTTGGAATGTCTACCCTGTTAAAACCATTTGAACACTGGAAAAGGTCACTGGGATGCAGTTCAACAAGATTTTTCCTAGAGACATGTTTAGTTTGAGGAATTTCTTTATATTTTGAAACTTGATATTGTGACTGGTACTGCTTTTAAGTGTTCATTCCCTACACAGATCTTTACTTTCAATTGTTTCTGGCACTTTTAAAAAACAGCTACCAAACAAAACACATTCCCATTCAATTAAAATTCCCCAAAATATTCCTAACCTTTTCATGGTGAGCACGGTGGTGGCACCATCATAATGTGGGAATGCTCGTTTTTCAGGAGGGACAGAGCTGTTGGGAAGAGTGGTGGGGATAAAAGATGGCAGTGTTGGAAGAAAACCTGGTAGAGGCTGCAGAAGACTTGAGACTGGGGTGAAAGTTCACGTCCACCAAGACGTAGGAATGAGCAAAAATGTCCTTGTTTAGAAGCAAAGCTAGTAGAAATATAACCCAAAAGACATGCAGATGTAACTGTAGCAAAGATACAACATGTTCACTCAGGGGGCTTATTACAAATGCATGGCTGTTCATAGGTAAAACATGTTTCATATCCCACTTTACATTTATGCACTGGTCAGTGTTGGTCTATCACATACAGTCCCAGTGGTTTGGTTGCAAGGGAAGGACTCTGACTGCTGCAGCGTTTTCATGTGCAGATTTTGACGATGAGTTGCGAAGCTTCAAGTGTCAGCTCCAGTCAGCTGATCTCATTATGGTTTCTTATTTCACTCGCTCAGTTTAACGCGTTGAGTAACACATCAAATCCAAATGCCAGCTTCTACTGAGGGAGAAGAAAGGGTTTAAACATGGGATGGACACACGAGCATCAAGTCGGCACCAGCTCTTGTTGTGTTGATTACAGTGAGTTTGTTTGCCGTTCTGGAGCTGGTTTATTAAGATGCATAGCGCTCTCTGGTTTCATGATGCTGTAGCTCTTGGGAGCAAATGGATGGATCATTTTTTATGAACTGGTTCACAGTATTATCTGGAAAAACAATCCGTGTTGCCTTTACATGTTCCACATCAGTAACATGACTCATCATGATACCGTTGCTTTGCTGAAATGAAAAAACAGGTTGTTTTTCTGTGAATGTTGTCTTATGATCTCAGATTTTATCAGCTTAGTAATTTGCTCACCTCTTCCTCTTGTCAACCTGCTTGCATGTAAAACATCCTGTTGTGAGCTTAGAATATTCCTTTATCAGATTATTCCAACATAAGTGTTTCTACACCATCTCCAAAGTGTTCTTGTTGATTTAAATCTTTATGTTTTAAATCAACATAAAGACTCCAAGGTGATAACCTTGGAGTCTTCCTGCTCCAAGGTTATCACCGGTCAGATCAGATCTGCTTCCTACAAAACATCAGTTTATCTCAAAAACACTTAAGCCTGACAGCCTCTTCATGTTAGTCTTTAAATAACTGAGATGATTTCCTCATGTCTTAAGTTTCTATCTAGACCTCATTTATAATATCTGCTGCAGAAAAGCCTTTTATTTCAGTCTGATAGAAAGATACAATGCGTCTTCTAACTTAAGATTTCAGAGTACAAAATTCTGGCTGCATCTCCAGACCCACTAATACCATGACCTAATTTCATGCTACCCTATGCTATTGTCTGTGAAAGATTCCCTCACCTCAGGATGCCAGATGCTTGAAACTGAAAGTGAGATTCTGAAATTGACCTACTGTGCAAATAATTTGACTAATAATTATTTGGTTTGAAATTAAATTTCTAGATGGAAAGTTGGTCCCTAAATATGCAAAGAATGTAAAAGTGGTGTCAGCAGCACACTATGACTTTGGTGACTTGGATCCTAATAGACATGCACTTTAAAAACCAGGAAGTGACATGCACACTTACTACATGCAGAACGTGATGCTTTACAATATGTTCGTTCTCGTCTCTGTCTTAGGCTCACGCAACATGTCAGAATAAAACCTGAGAAAATATTTACTTTAAAAGACAAGGGGCTGTTCTTGGTTCCCCTTTCATCCTTCTCCATGCAGATTAAACACATTTGTGAGTCAATTTTTTTATTATTAAAAAAATAAAGACAATTGTATTTACTTTTTAAAAATGATTTTTGAAAGAAAGACTCCAGAATAACACCTGGATACTGAAATTAACTTCCTACCCTTCATAAAGACCTCAGAAAGCAACATGGGGTTTCCAAGCACAGAGCTTTGTGGATCCCCTTTTAGAAGATTTTTAAACAAAACTTAATGTAATACAAGTAAAAACAATACAAGTTATCAACACAAGTTATATCGACTTTTGATCTGAATCACTTTTACTTTTATTGATTGACATCAAAACCAGACTAAGCAGATCGAAGCCAGTGCTCATCTGTCAGACACGAATAGAGCTGCTGTTAAAATCGTCCCGTTTCCAACAGGAGCAGATTGTCACATTTAGCAAAGGGCTGGTGTTTACACCTCTGAGACACATTTTAAAGAAGAGTCAATGGGTTAGAATATTCTGTTACCTTTAATAATTTTACATAGAATGCAAATTTTATACATTTTCTTCAAAACTCCTGTAAGGTTGAAAACAAAAACAAAATAAGAGAATAACTACACAGAATAAAGTAACATTTATCTCCATAGAATGGCAGAGGATGATTTAGCCGGCAGCAGGTTGTGACTGTGGAGCTGAGAGGGGAGGCTGGTGGAGCTGGAGATGCCAGAATGAATCTGCTCTGCTGTTGTGGCTGTTTGATAGTGACATCCACCCCAACGCACCTCAGCAAATCCACAGCTTTTCTCCCAGACAAGTCGAGTGTGAGAAGGTTGGCAGTTTGCCCTCGGCTGATAATGTGTCATCATAAGATTTGGTGTGAGGCAGTGCACCTGGATTTGTGCATGTGGATATAGAAAACACCTGCTTACAGAGCGGTGCACTGGGTGACAGTTTTCTGCTCTGTTAAAACTGTGCAGAGCAGGAGATCTAATATGAACAGCAGATTCATTCAACATATCAGGGTTTTGTTTATTACTAATAATAAACTCAACTAGGATATGCAATTTCTTGCTTATAGTTTTAGATATTCATATTTTAGTAATTTATTGTCAATTTAAAAAATTTAAGAAACACCATTAAATGTTCAATTTTCTGCCAGAAAACGGACATTTCTATGTCTACTTTAATTGTTTAATTCCTGGAAAAAGTAATTCAATTTTTCTTACCTTAATTTATTAAATCAAGAAATGATAAAGAAAAGTAAGAATAAAGTTAGAACACCAATAACTACTATATTAGGACTGAAATAACTTCAGGAGGAGCTTCTAGCAGTCTCTGACATCGGTCTCACAAAAGTTTCTCTTTCAGCTGCGAGTTTCTTTTAGGAGTTTAATGTTGAAATAATTCAGCTTCAAACTTATCTGTCCAAAGAACATTGCTTCAGGAACTTTTCTCCTCTAAATTCTCAAAAGCAAACTTGTAAACATGAAGTCTGGTCTTCACGTTGATGTTCGAGAGCGGATGTTTCCACCTTGGACTTCTTCCATGGAAGCTACAACTTGTAATCTGTCTGTGTGTGGAGGAATGTGCTGATGGATAAAGATAGTGAGAGCAAACTGCAGGAGCAGTGATGGTATTGTACAGCTTCCTGACTTCCTTAAGCATCTTACAGTCTGCTCTGGAGGTTGAACCTGCCTGACATCGATGTTTAAATGAGTTTTTAATGCAGACTCTTTCCAATCAGAGGATCAGCTGATCCTGAACTATTCAAAGACCTCCATAAGCTGTTGATGCTGGAATATTTACAATATTTCTAAATACATAAAAAGTCCTAGAAAAACACAAACACATACGATGGGTTGGTCTAGCTGTTGCTTTCCATCCTACTGAAGATTTCTTCACTTTCCTACAAACTAATGACTGTAAGCGACTTGTCCTCTACCAGTAAGTGATCTACGATTTAATAACTTAAAGACACAGAAACTAAGTTAAAAAAAACATTATCCTCATGAGATCTGATGGTACATTTTTACCAAACTATCATAAAATTATACCTTTTTTCCATTTTCACAGAATTCACATTTGCCATGCTTTATTCAGGAATATTGCAGAAGAGGAGTGCAGGTGTTGGCCAATAAATAGCTCCAGTAGTTTGAACTGTACGGGTTTCATGGCCTTTGTTATCGACCAAGGTCACTCAGTGGGCTGCAAATGGCACCGAGCCATCATTAGTTTCTGCCTTTGCTTTTCCAGCTTTAACAAATCTGCTGGTTTTCTGTGAACTTAAGTTCAAGCATACAGAAAAAAAGTAAAATCCGTTTTTTTTGAATTTTTTGAACTGATAAACTGCTGAGAACAGCTGTCAGTCAGCCGGCCGTACCCTCTTCCTTCAAATGAATATTTGTGTTTTTTCTGGTACCTGAATGATGAGTTTGTATTTTTTCTTGTTTACATTTATCACAGTATTGTGATGTCATTGAGCTTCTGTGTCTGTGCATCGTTTATGTTTGCTTTCAGGCTAAAACTTGAACTGCTTTGAAAGTCATGCAACCTGGACTGATGTAGACGACGTCACAAACCACCAAATTTCATGCAAGATAAATGAAGCTCCACAAACACTGTTCCATCAGTATCAGGCTTCACTTATGAAGCAGGTAGAACTGCAGCCATAGAAAATCCTCAACAAGGTTACGTTCACAAAACATATGACTTCCCAGTTTTATCCCATCTGTAAGCCTAAATGCTAGAGGAGACGAGGAATTCAGCACCGTGGAGGCAGAAAACATCCCAGAGAAGAAGCAGTCTGCAGCTGCAGAGCATGAAACAAAGATTTTAGGTTGGACTGACTGACTCTACTGAGACAGACGCCTGACACACGAGCTTCCCGTTTGTTCAGCGATCCAGGCAGGTTGGTGACTTAAACAGGGAAGATGTGTACAGGAAGTGACAGCTGAAAGACAAAGAATGCAAAACTGACACAAAGCCTGATGCTAAAGCACACCCACAACAACAGTCAATTTAGGATCTCTGCTCAACACATCAAGCATCATTTGGACTGGAGAATCTGGAACATTATAAAACAGAAACAAGAGTTAAATCAAGGAATTTATGTGGCAAATTTTGTGCCAAAGAACAAAAGATTTCTTCAAGTTTTCCAACTAAAGAAAATAACAAACATGCTTTTTTACTTATGCAGACTTTAAAACATGTTTTAGCAGCATCTGCTTGAATTACATTCCAATATATCACAGAAAATAAAAACAAGTTTGCATCTATGATTTTTTTTCTAATGCAAAGGAAAATATTCATGTGAATGAACACAAAACCTGATGCATTAAAGAACGAAGCGTTCTAAGCAGCGCTGTGTCTCCTCAAGGTGATCCGTCATGCTGCTTATTGCAAATGTCAAAACTGAGGAAACTCCATTCTTTTCAGAGTTTTTGCACATCAGACTGGATTTCATTTCGAATCCCTGCTAACATGAAGACCTTCTTTCTCCTTCCTCTCTCATTCCATGAGAATCAGAGTTTGGTGCAGTGCTGGTGTGGAAAGCAGTTGTAAATGTTATTAAATGTTTGGATTTTCGCCATAAATCAAGGACAACACATGATGTCATTTTTATTCAGCAGCAGAGGTTCCTGTCAGTCTTTGCCAGAGTAACCTCCCCTTATTCAGATGTAGTGCATTGACCAAAGCAGCAATAAAGCAACTATTAGTTCAAATGATTTATTACTCCTCTGAAACATGACAACCCATATTTTTATTGGAATTCAAATATTCAGTGTAGCTAAAAGTGTATTTCTCTTCATTCAGTTCTGCTCCATTTTAAAACTATTCCCATGTTTTCATATTTTTAATTTTTGTGTCAATAATTTAGAAAAATGTTACATTTCTCAGAGAAAACATATCAAATGAATCCCATCCTGCATGGGAACATTATCCCTCATCACTTTTTTGGATTTTATCACATCATATTAAAACTACAACCTTCAGTATTTTTATAGTTTTTATTCTAATAAACACAATATGGTGAATAATTAGAAGTAAAATGACAGATTTGTCATTTTTACAAATGAAAATCAGAAAAGTGCATTTGTAGCTAGCCTCTCAGTCAGTTTGTTGATGCGACTATCTACAGATGAAAATGTTTATCCATTCCTCATTCCGGTCAAGCAGAACATCTGAAAACACCAATGTTTTAATAAATTGTGAAGAGCCTCTATAGTTTTCCTCCCACTTTATAATAATGTATGAAACAGTTTTATGTTGTCTAAGATGAAAAACGACATGGAGGTCAGTGGTTGTAATGTGACTACAGGGGGGAGAATATGTTTGTGAGGAACTGAAAATGATTTCATCTCTCCTCCATCCCAGGTGAGACGGCAGCAGATCGTGACCAGCTAATGGTGCTTTAAGGTCAGTTAGGGTCAACATCAGTAATCTGTAAAACAGTTACTGGAGCCAAAACGTGAAAAATCCCTCTGGTTTGTCCTGCGGTCCAGGACTGTGTGACCTTTGACCCTCAGTGTGAGACATGACCCCTTAGGGGAGCCGGCCTCTGGGGTCTGTTTTATTCTCTGTGTTTATGAAACAGAATAAATCATTCCTCACTGAGCTAAAAACCTACAGTAAGAACAAGCAGAGCAAAACTTTTCCATGTGTTCTGGTGTTTGTGTAATCACGCTGTGGGGACTCGGCTCACATGATTACTCTTCGTGACTCATCTCTCAGCTGGGGATAAACAGCAAGAGCCCAAAAACTATTACATTTCTGCTTCTCTGTTGAGGTTCAGGCAAACTGTGGGCCCCATAAACACAATGATAAATGTTTGTTTTCAGTCATATTCAGTAAATTAGAATAAATACTGAAACCTTTTTTTCTGGTAACTTTATTAGTTCACTCATGCATGTTTTTCATATAAAATGCAACTTATTTTAAGAATACGTACATTACCATAGACAGTTTCCTGTTTTCTAAATAAGGTGGAAGCTAAAGGTCAAAGTCTGTGTGTGTTTTGACTACATGTTGAAATCACAGCATCATCTAGTGGCCTGGCATGACAACTACAGCACATTAAAGCTGCCTCAGTTAAACCTGAAGCTTTCTTTATGCTTATTTTCTGCTTACAGCTGATGAAAATACATAAAATATTAAATCACTAAAACATTTCATCACAGGAATCTGAGCTTAATGACAACAATGTTTAGCACCTGCTTGGTGATTATCTCAAGCATTTGTGTTTTAAAACTAAAGATCATCATGGAAAAAAAATAACTGCATGGAAGTTTATTGTAAATTAGCTCATTGTTTTTAACCCTGTGCACATCATTCATTCAGAGTTGGGTTTCTCCAGGATTTGAAGGCACACTTGTTGAATGATGACCCATTCAAATTGTAGTTTTTATTTGATAATTCATGAGCAATGTAGCACAGAATCGTATTTGTACACTGAATGTAGCAAAGAAGCAGTAAATAAATAAACAAACAGAAATCATATAGCAGAGCAGGTCCACAGTAGTAACACATTTGGAAACATGGCAAAGACCCTGAAATAGGGAGAAAGTGGCAGACATTCTGGACAACAAGATCTAATCTGGAGGGTTGACAGGCAGAGTAATAAACGTCTGATTCATTCCCAATGATGGACAGCTAATTTACTTTCAACATCTCAATGATTAATCCCCCCTGCAATGTATTTTTATAGCTTTAACTGCCATAAAATAGACAAGGCACTGTTGAAGGTCTGAGTAATGGTGGCAGGTTTTCAAATTAGAGTCCATGTCCCTCCTCAGCGTGAGCATCAACACTAGATGCACAGAGGAAGGCGTGGCACATTTCCAGGACACTAATGTGAAACAAAAGCTTCTGAGAGGACTTTCATTTGCAGCCTCTCCAAACTCACTGCTGGGTATTTTTATTGGCAGACGTATAAGCATAAAAGCAATTACAAAGCGCCCGGGGTGAGCGCGAGGTGCAGCCCAGACTCATGTGTGAACAAGGTGTTTGCTTAGATTAAGTACTGGTGTTCATTTTCACTTATAAATCTTGTTGATGAGACTCTGGGGATTTTTAAAGAAAGTAGTTCTTGTTTGGGACACTGCGGCAAAGAGAAAATTAAACTGGCGGGCAAGAGTATTTTAGATTTAGTTTATATTTCTAATTTAAAAAACTGATTTATTTAAAAGCACATAAACTTTGTTCAGTGTGACCTGATAGTTTCAGATGAAATACAAATATTTTAAAGACGTTTTGTGCCATTCTTTCTTCACAGTAATCAGATAGGAAATGGGGAGAAAAGAAGAGAGTAATGTGGTAAAGGTTCAAAGGTCAGAACCAGCTGCCATTGCTCCACAATCCTCCCTTAATCACAGTATTCAGGTGATTCCTGAGCCTTTAGAAGCAGCTAATTGTTTCTTCTGCAACAGGTATAAGAGGACGCACCAGGCTGCCCTAGCAGAACGTTTAATTAGCACCTAACTCCAGCCAGCGCCTCCTCTCCAGGCGTCTTCTGGCTCCCTCGCTGTCTAAGTCTGGTTGACGCCTCATCAGCCTCCCAGCAGCATTCAGTAGCAACTGTTCACCAAACCTGCTGCTCTCCAGACCTGCAGCTTCATCTAGAGATGCAGTAAACAACACAGCTAGTGTCATCATGGACATGGGTGTTTTCAGCAGCAGGTCTGGCTGATGCCTGCTATACCAAAGCATCATGATTCCCAATGCTGCCAACTCAAGAGCTTCAGGATTACTTTTCTCAACATGCAACTCAGCCTTCCAAGACGAAGAAAGCAACATCACCAGAGTTGCAGCCTCCCATTTCTCTAGAAACATTCAGTGTCTCCTGCAGCACTTTTTTCATCCCGAGTATCACATGTTGTCTTTGTCTTCATCTCTACTGCCACCATTATCATGGCTTTCAGTACATTCTAGAGCATCAAAATGATATCCATCATCATCTTCTGGGCATCATCATCATGGTTATTAATATCAAAATGATTGGTTTCAATGTGATGAATTATGAATATGTGTAACAACAGCAGAAACCATTCCAGCAATTATCAGCTTTTAAATGAGCCGTATATTTATTTAACATCAAGACCATTTGTAGAGACGATTTACTCATTTATTTTACATTACAAATAAACATAAACATCATCTTGAAAAAAATTATTATTATTAGTAGATACTACAATCTTCTGTTTGTAAACTTACAAAAATGTGAGATTCAAATAAGACCTGATGTTGAGGAAAAAATGCTGAAAAAAAAAAGTATAAGAATCTTCAATTACAAAGTCAGTAAACATCATAAAACTCCTGCTTTGAAAATGTAAGTGCTAAAAGTTGAGACTCATTCCTGGTGCTGCATCCTGCTGCTTGTTGGTTTAAATCTCCACAAAGTTTATTTCAGCAAAGATAATAGCTGTTCCTATCAGGATGATGAGTGTGTGAGAGTTTGGGTAGGCAGCTTGTTTTTCAGCTCAATTAAAACACGTGCTGTGTTGAACTACAGCAGCTAACAGTGTTCATATCGGAAATGCTTCTGGGCTGATCTGATCATAAGATGACAGCTTACACACACAGGTCATACGACGAGTCTTAGCTTTTTATTTATGTATTTTAACCTTTTCAAGGTGGACTGATGATGAAAGGCATAACAGCAATATGTTTCAAAAACAATACCTTGTTGCTTGTATAAATGTATTGTTGAGCAGAAGTGCAATCTGATGCCCAGCAGGATTGTCGGCGTTTCCTGACACCCTGGTTGACGTCCACCCACCTCGCCTTTGCTCTTCATCTAACGCATGAGCACAGCGACGGCAGAGGCACCTCCTCTACGCTGATGATGATGTGCTGTCAACCCAGAGCAAACAGGATGTCAAAATTAAATGCAAACATGGAGCAACTGATGGAAAGAAGAAAACTTAACATTGAACATCAATAATTCTGAATAACTCAAGTGCGGTGATCAAGATGGATGGACAGGAGCTGGTCAAGACCACAGAGTTCAAATTCCTCGGCTTCCTGCTCAGTTCAGAAGAAGACACGATGTTCGATGTAAAAGGCAGAGCCAACGCAGCGTGGCTTAAGGCGCAGTCACACCTGCTCACTTTAATCCACTTTATCAAACTTATTAATTTGCCCAGAGACTGTTTCATTTAGGGAGGTGTGAATGCAGAATCAAACTGTGATGCGAACCAAAAAGGCGAAGTCTGGTCCGCTAACACTGATGAAAGGCTCGTTCTCTGTTGGTTCCTGGGTTTGTCTCAAACCTCCGAAACAATTTAATTGGATCTAAAGGTGGCAGCTTGGTTGAGATGACTGGAATCTGGACACGTTTGGGTTTGCAACTTTAAAGTGGACTACAGTCTTTGTAGTCCTATTTAAATAGACTAAAAGGACTGATGAGAAAGCTGGTCAAACATGTTGCTAGTATTATGCTGGAGCCTTGTTAATGGCTACAAAACGTGTGTTTTCTCCAAGACATCCTCAGGGACATTCATCCAAATGTTATTTGGGGTATTTTTATTAACATGATCAAGTATTTACTCCACTCTGGCAGAAGCATTGTTCAAACACATCATTAAAAGCAGAAAATGACTAACAACTGCCTCTTTAATGTCTATATTATCGTGTTCTCAGCATACAAATGAAGCCTCTGGTCCAGGTCCAAATAAGTTCCAGCATCACAGATACATTCAGGATGTCAACTGAAACATTATTCAGACATAAACATGTGCCTGATGTGCTAGAGCTGCATTTATTGCAGAATTATTTACTTATAGTTCAAAAAGCTTAGTTACGTAAGTGCCACAACATCAGAAGTAAAAGAACTTCATATGAATTATTAACAGATTCCTGGAGCTCATTGACAGCGCGGCAGCTAAAAAACAGTCAGTGAAGCTTTTAACCCTTCTTCGGTCGCACATTGTGTGCATAATTGGACATCCTGTTACATTTTGTTGCGCAGGTGGGATTCCTGTGATTAAGGGAAATAAGTGTTGATACTAAAAACTGAAATGTTCTGGCAACTGTCAGAAATCAGGGCAATAAACTGATCCTGATATTTTGGTGTCAGGAAAACCTCCAGAGACTGAAATGTGTCTCCTTTGAAATAATTTGAAATTAGCTGGCAGCTGAGCCAAATTTAGCAGTAGATTTTTACATAATCAGGTTTCTCAGAAACTAGGAGAGAGAAAACAAACAAGGGGGAACTCCACAGCTGAAGGTAATCCTTTACATTTTTTATACAACAAGGTTTTTATTTTTAGTGTATTAATGTTACATCAGCAATAACATACACATTCTAAAAATATCTAACCACCAGCTACTTGTACAGTTATCCAGGATCTAGTCTGGTCTAAATCAGTTCAGATGCATCCTGTCTAATTTAATACAACAACACACTGTACAGCTAAAATAAAGTCAACTGATGGTAAAATGCCAAACAGCAGAAGGATTCTATCTAATGCAGCCCAACTGACTGCATCTGGTTATTAACTTTATTGCACTTCTTCATCTTCATTAAGCATGTGGCAGCAGTGGAGAGGAAAAACTCTAACAAGAACAAACGTCCAGACAGAAGCACTGAGCCAACAGTTCTTTCTAGGATGAAGAAACATGGAGGTCATGTTAGCAGATTCTACTGTCCAGATGTAGTTTTAACAAATATGTAAAAAAACACTCTTATAAAAATGACCTTCTGCAGCTTTAATTTGCCCTTTAAAATGTAAGGGTTATATTTGACTCGTAAAACAGATTCGTTCAACTACTGATTTTTAAACTGAGGTTTTTATTTACATAAAGCAAAATGATTTTTATCTTTTGAAAACTTTGAACGGAGAGCCCATGCTGGTGTTTATCAGTGGAGCCTCTCCTGACTGCAGTTGGTCCAGAAGTCGGTACTTCTCTCCACTGGCTCCCTGTTCATTTCAGAATTGATTTCAAAGCTTTATTGGTGACTTAGAAGGCGGACAGGCTCCTGGGCATCTGCCTGACCTCCTGCAGCCTTTTGCGCCCCCCAGATCCCTTAGATCTAATGATCACTTGCTTTCAGCAGTTCCAAGGTCTAGGCAGGCTCACAGAGGTGACTGAGTGTTTCAGGTTACAGCCCCTTAACTGTGGAATAAACTGCTCCTACCCATCAGACAGGCCTTGTCGTTGGTGTTTCTAAAACTTATTTAAGAATCCATATGCACTCACTGGCTTTTAATGCAGCATGAGAGACATGGGGCTGTGCAATGCTAAATCTCATGTTCTTTGAGTTGTTGACAACTTCAAAACACAGAGGAGGTTTAGATTCTACTTCTGATTAGTTCTCCCATGTTGCATTCATACTGATGCACTGTTATTTGCTAAGAAAGTACATAAAAAAGTGTTAATTTTTCATTTTAGCATACCATATCTTATCATCTCTTTAATGCAAACTCTAAACACTTTAGCTAAAAATAAAACAAAGTGTGAAAGATGCATATACTGCTAAAATCCATAGGCTTTAAAAGTCCAAGTGTGGAAGTTGCAGATGAAGCGCTCTCAGTCAGACACAGCAGATGGCAGGCTTAGTTTGAACACTTTCCCACGTCAACAGTTGTCCCCTCCAACTCCGCCTACATCTAAGTCAGCCATCTCACCCTGAACTTTACATATCCAGCCTGGATGATGCTGGTGGATTGTTGGCCTACTTGGATGTGGGAGGAGTTGGACTTTCCAGTCCAAGGGTTTCAGAAAGACATACTTAACTGGCTCAGTGGATGGATGGCACTTTATATTTGTGTCTGATGCAAGTGTGTACTGATTGGATATTCAGCTTGAAAACAAACATGCCATTTGTTAATAACCACTTTTGCCCACCACAAAAACCAACTCTGTAAAAGCTTGATGTGAGTTGAAGACTAGAAGGACACATGAAGGCAGAACTATTTAGACACTTAGTGAGCTCAGTCTGTTGAGCTATCTCCAAAGACGGGGGACAGCTATGAACTGTTTTAATAACTTTTACAATTTTTATTCTGCACAAATAAAACATGCTTTCAAATTTAAAGTATTTTAGATTTCAACTGTTACCATTGTTTTCACAGAACAACAATATTTTATCTCTTACAAAAACCTAACTACAAAACTGAAAAATGTGTAGCGCTCTTTTAATGCTGTGCCTATTTAATAAGCTCACCGAATGTCATAACAATATGGTGGTTTTTGCAATAACTGATAAAGAAATGTCTATTTCACAAATAAAGACACCAAAACAAGGTCATTTGTGTGAGAACCGTTTCAAAACGAGCAAAATACAATAAGTTCAAAGTGAACTCAGCAGTCCTTCAGCTGCTTCAGCTAGCTAAACACACATATACAAAGCCCGCTAGCATTAGCATAAATGAGCCTCCAGAAATGTGTTTCCACACAACACTGATCACAAACTGCATAGTGTGACTCACTAGTAGAAACTGATATATGTGCATCAAAATACTTTTGTACTGACCTGTGATATATAAAAGATGAGACAAACACGTCGAGCTTCCTTTAGCATCTAACAGGAAGGTTTATTCTTCTTCTGTGTGCCCAACCTCTTCTGTTTTGTTCAATGTGACAGGCGCCCCCAGCGGTTGTATGTGGAATCGCACCAAATAACTGAAATAACACTTATTACTTATTACAACGAGAAATTGAAGATAGAAAAAGAAAAATAATGTTGACGTTCCTATTTTCATTATTTTAAACAGCTTGTTTTCACTTGTCTACACATACATCTCCATTAATTATTCCATAGATACTTATTTAACTCTAATTCTCTACAAGATTCTGCCATTTCTTATTACTCCTGCACATCTTAACCTAATAAACAGGAGATTACAATTAACTGAAGGACGGCCAATGACACTGCTGATTGTTTTGGTATTATGCAGCAGGAGAGAGATGTAAGACTGATCTTTTTAATTTTCTCTGCTAAACACAGCCAATAATAATCATGAACTTCCTGTTTAACATTTAGTCGTTTATTGCCTTTGTGTGAAATGAAGCAACTTTGTCCTTTACCGATTTTGGGTCAAGTGATGTGTTTGTAGTTTTCAGACTTGAACTTTACAACTAAACATCATCTCTCTTTGCAGAGAAATATGGAGCTGTGGCTTTTTTAATAACTCCTGCAGTGGTGCTGAAAGATACACATGGAGAGCCATCTGGAGGAACCGCTGGCTTTTATAGAGCTGAGACTCTGCTGGACATTATTACAGTGTTTGTCTGAAACCATGTGAGCTCTGGACACAAAAATGTTTCGAATATATTTACACAAGTTCATATATGAGAAAAATGTAAAGGGACAAAATATAACATGGATTATAGGCCCATCAGCTAAGCAATGATGCATCAGAATCAGCTTTAATCGTGGGAACAAACTTGGAAGTTGACTTTGGCTTTCAAGTGCTCACAGCATACAGAGTCTAAACATTAAACCTTAGGGGAAATAAAATAAAGATGAAGGATCAATATGTACATGTATTTGGAGCCATTTTAATAAAGAAAGAAAAGAGAAGACTTGTTGTGACAGTGCAAATATACTTATTTGTCTCCCAGCAGAGTAACTGACTATATAGGCAAGTTTTCATTGTGTTCATCAGCCTGGGGGAAGAAACTTTAAGGTTTCTTTCTTTATTTTTATCAGAAAGCACCAATCCAAAGGTAAAATTCTAAACACTTTGTGTCCAGGATGTGTGGGGTCTGCAGATACACTAGCAGCCTTTTTCCTGGAGGGGAGGTTACCCCTGATGATCCTCTCTGCAGACCTGATGGATCCCTGCAGTTTGGACCGGTCCTGTTCTGTGGATGAGTCAAAGCACACAGTGATGGATGAACTGAATAATGGATGATTAGAGGAAAACTTCAGGAGTTTCTCAGATGGGTCTGCTGAGGGAAAATAGGAGTGAAGGAGATTGTAAGTATTATTGTTGCTTTAATTACCAGCTAGCAGCCAGACATGAAGTACTGCCATGGAGTTTTATCTCAATTTTCTTTCAATAATTTGTAAAACTTTCTTACTTCAAACCGTTTGTGTGAAGTTCCACATTGGTTTTTCAGGTGATCTTTCCCTGAAGTCTTTAATAGAGATTAAAAGGAACCAAAACCACAAAATCCTGAGCTGAAGTATTTTCCTTTCCTTCATCTCCATTTAGTCCCCACTGCTGAGTTTGTAACGATCTTCAGTTTAGATAAAGAACTGTAATTTTATTAAATAGGATATTGATTGTTGTGGAATTGGACCCCAACTAAGACAACAGCTGTGCTTTCACATCTAAAAAAATCTTCTTTTTCTTCCCCTCTGTCAGATTTACTTCACAGCTTATTTACTGGTGCTGAAAATAATCACACACACAAAAAAAACAAAAAAACAAGTTGCAACAAGATTTATTAGAGCTTCATATCACTGAAAATGTCAATGCATGGCCTGAAAGCAGGTGTTAACTTTTATGGAAATGTCCTGCTTTGTTCAGTGGGAAATGTCCATTTCCTTTTGTTCCCATTATAAATGAGGTTTGGGTCCTGCATGCATACTGTGGAAGTCGCAGTCAGTCCACAGAGAAATGAACACAGCTCATGTTTACTCCCTCTATAAAGAGGCTTCTCCAACTGTAACCTCAGCACACCCCCAGAAAGCTGAATTATATCTGTCATAACGAATGGGAGGTGGAGAAATCAGGACACCAGGAGGCCAAAGATGAAACAAACAAAAGAGTTCAATTAAACTTTCAGGTGAAAGAGCTTTGAGGCAACAGTGAGGAATAGATTCTCAACTTTAAACCTTTTGTAACATAAGCAGAAGAAACGGGAACAAGGCACACAGGACAATAATCTGGATGAACAACAGAAGGAAGATAACAGGGGAAAAACACACACTGATGCTGAACAAGTTTGACTCTTACAAGGAAAACTGAGATTAAAGTTGATGCTTAACAAAAATACAAACAGTAGAGAAGAAACAAGAAAGCAAAACATCAAAATTCATAAAGTAAAAAACTATGTAGAACCTTGCTGCAGCTCACTTTTAAGTTAAATAATAGATCGAAGCTCTGTGCTTGTGTTTCTCGCTTCATGTCTGCCAGAAAAAAAAAAAAAAAACATTTTAGAAAGAAAGACTTTAAGTCAGGGGTGCCCAAGTCCAGTCCTCGAGAGCTACCATCCTGCAAGTTTTAGAAGTATCCTTACTCCAACAGACCAGGATCAGCTCTACAGAGGCCTGATAACGAGCCATTCATTTGACTCAGGTGTGTTGAAGCAGGGATGCATCTGAAAGTTGCAGGATGGTAGCTCTGGAGGACTGGACCTGGGCACCCCTGCTTTAAGTAATAAACACAAACCAATTATTCACTTTTAAAATGACAGAAAATAAGCTGTTTTATTGCACAGCCATCCAAAAATATCGAAACTTGGAGTGTATAGTGCCAAGACAACCTAAAGTCCTGAATCAACTGTTTGGAGCCAAAAAGCTAAAAAAGCTTTTAGCCCTTTGACTAAAACTTGAACAGGGTAAACCTGAGGAAAGTGTTCTCACTCTGTTCTTTATTTATGTGCTGACAACAAGATACCAGTCTGAGCAAAGTGATGTTCTCTAAGCTTCCCCATGTCTGTCTTTCTTCTCTTCTTTCTCTGACAGCATCAAGACAATTTAACTGCAATATTGTTGCTAAAAACTGTTATGAACCACATTTTCAGAACATTTTGCATTACTCAAACAACTGTAGATCTGCATAATTTTCCATAACTTCATGATATACAGCAGGTATGACCAGCTTTATGATCAAATAAAGTTTGCTACAGTGTTGCTAAGAAAGATAATGGTGCAGCATTATTTAGGCCTCATATTTTCTGATGGCATTGAAGTGTGAGGCAGGTGTGCAGTGGTTGAGTAAAGTGATAAAATAAAATGACATCCAGGTGGAAAACTGACCACATTCAGTGAGTTTCTATGGAAAAGTCTCCTGGCTCACATGGAGTTTAGCTTTGACCCTGGTTGAAGGAGGAATACCCGCCTGATGATGAGCGTTATTGTATTCTGAAATTAATTAAGTTCTGTTGAAGAGTGGATGCTTGCTGTTCGTAAACACTGGTCTACCTCACAAACAGACATTTCCCAGCAGCCTCGTTGCTGTAATACATGGTGAATGCCCGCAGGACTCTCAAGGTTTTCGTTTTGTGTGTCTGTGCAGCCAGGCAGGAACACAGCGCTCCTCTGCACCCAGTCTTGTCTGCGTCATTTGAGATCAGATGCAAAGAGCTAACTGGCAGTGAGAGCTAGAAGGATGATCCTCCGTGAAGGTCACTCGCTCATGTCTCTCCTCTGACTGCTCTTCAGAGAAAAGAGGAAAATGAAGTGTCTGTTTCCTTTATATGTTTTCTTCTGTTCCCAGAGATCCTTTTCAGTTTTACCTCTGGGTGTTTTCACTTTTCAGCGAGAGGGAGATGATGGGAGGGCCCAAAAAGCTTTAAAATCCTGACCTCACTCTTCACACAAAGGAAGGAGAGCAACTCCTTGGCCAAACTGGGCACTGCAGAGAGGACAAGCGCTCCAATTCAGCTGTCAGTTACCTAACCTAACAATGGTCTTTCCCATTATTCTCTCCAGCTGTGGAGGCAAACATTGTTTTCCTCCGTGAGCATCACTGAGCTTTTCTTCCACAGAAGGTACACATTTCTCCCCTGGAAGTTTTATTCCTTCTCTTTACTAGTCTTTAGAAAATATATATTCTTTTATCTGGTGCAGAAGGGCAACTTAAACTCACTTTATGTTCATTCCTTTGAAACTAAGGCAGCTTGAATGTCAAACCATGTTTTGCTAAGATGTTGCTAAAATGAAGAATACTAATAAACTTGAAGCTTTAGTCTTTCATTTTGATGAAAAACAGAATGTGCCTTTATATCTGTCTCAGCAGACTCAAGGCAGTTCTCATACTTATGTTTCTCATTCTGTAACATTTTGTGTGAATGAGCTTGTGATTTAGTAACTTTCGTTCATGACTTGCTCCCTGCTGGGTAATGATCGTATCGCTCGGGGTCGGCCCCATCAGTCATTCACTGCATGCATCAGTCAGAGCAAATCCAGGTCCAGAAGGAGGCTTTCACTTTGGGCTGCTTTCCATTAGGGAACCCGCCATGTTGACGGGGAAATCACGTAGAATGAAGTCATCTTATTAGTCGGGGTATGCATTTCGTAAAGCGTCATAATTTCGCAGCTAAAACTTCATTATTGCTAACTTAACAGCAACTTTTTAAGCTCTTATTCTCACTCACAAAAAAAACTGTATATGTGTTGCTCAGCTTTTATTTAGTCTGTTTTCAGTTTTATTCTTTGTTTATATTTTCAGAAAGAAAAGCAGCTGGGAAATGTTAATAGAACGAAGAAACATGACAATATCAGGATGTGTTCACTGAAATCCTGACTCCGTTTAAAATCTTCACTTATGTAATTTAACTCAACTCCCTGAATGACAGAGAACAAAGTTAGAAGTGACAAAATGTATTAAGCTGTGAGTTCATTTCTGTTTCTCTGCTGTTCAAAGCAAAGCTGAAGGTGTTCAGTGAA